AGGTAGGAAAGCCAGCCCAGACTACAAAATGAGACCCTGTCTCAAAGGAAGCAAAGTGAATGTGCATTTGTTATGGTGGGCAGCAATGCTTTGGATTGTCCTTCCAAAGAGTGGGCTTTAAGGAAAGTCTGGAGTCTTGAGGAAGTGTCTGGAAAGAATCACGTTCTTATGGAAATTATGTCAAGGTTCTTAGCAGGAAGTTGGCATGAGGGCAGGTGAAAAGGAGAAGAGAACACCTGTCCAAACCCTTGAGTTCTACAACTCTTTGACTTGTCACAGGATGGTTTGAACAAAGCTGTGTGTGGTCTCATGTTGTCTTGTGTATGTCTTGTGAATGTCACAGGCAACAGTTTGAGAGCAGATGAAGAGGGCCCTGGTTGTGAAAAATCCCTTAGTCAGAATGAGGAGGAAGGGAGGGGAGTCAGAAAAGCCAGAGGTCTGGAGATCTTTTGGCAAGAGGGGATGCAAGCAGGAATAGCATGGTGGTGAATCAAGGCAGGGAAGGGGTTCTCTAAGGCCAGCAGAGGTGGGGCTAGGGCTAGGCTTCGGGGAGCAGTGCACTTAGCTCTGAGGACACCTGCTTGGCTGTAATTATTTTTACAGCCTCTTGCTTTATGAATGGGGTGTAACTCTTTCTCAGCAGGGCAGAGGTGAGTGGTTTTACACTTGGCAGGTGATATAAGGTGAGAACTTATGGTAATTTCTCCTCCTCCCAACCAGTCCTTGTGTACAGTCTTGGTTATTGGTTACCCATTCACCCAACAAAGATACAACAAAACACATGAAAATGCCAGGTCCAGTTGCTATGATCCCAGCATCCACAAGGTGGCTCCAGTTCCAGGGGATCTGACTTCCTGTTTGGGCCTCTGATGGTACTGGAGAGGTACATGGTGCACATACGTACATGTGGACAAAAAATAAATCTTTAGAAGAAAAGAGAGAACCTTCCAGTTAAGTTAGGGGGAAGGCACTAGAAAAAGGGCTCTTTATAGATTTTTTTTTTGGTACTGAAGCAGGATCCAGTTGGAGTGAAAAATTTGTGAGTTCAGAGAGCCTAAAAGGATTCCTGACACCAAAAAAGTCCATGGAGGAATTCAGACAGCCTGGCTTATTGTCAGAAGGTTTTCACAAAGTGAGCAGTTGCTGGGAGGTGGGGACACAGAGATGACGCTGTGGTTTTTATTTTGTTTTAAAGTTTGCAATGACCATGGATACCAGAATTGTTAGAACATGGGGTTCATGTGGAGAAGACAAGAAAGAGCTGGAAAGATCATGTCAAAATATGGCAAATGAAAGCCAAGTCAGAGTCAGGACCTTCTTCCGTGGCTCAGGGGATGAGGTGTGAGGTGTGAGGTGAAATCAGAAGAAATACAAGTGTGGTATAGTAAATGTAGACAGCTTCCTTCCATTCCATACCAGTGCCTCCTACTGTGTGCAAAATGGACATCCATCAGCTGACCTTGTGACCCTAGATCAAGATCTATGGTGCTTGTAAATGTGTTCTACTTTGTTCCTTTTCTCCACTTTTTTTTTTTTTTAAATAATACATTCCTAGTTAAAGATTAATTGAGGCCCATCTGTCTCAGAATAGAGTCTGGATTCAGTGACCCCATAAATGTTGGAGAAAACAGAATGGGTATGCTGTAATTGTCTTAAAAAACATGCTTCATGCCAACAAATTCACAAAGGCCAAGAAGTGACTTCGGAGAGGCTGGAGGACTCTCCGTCTTGTGCTTGGGTATGTGGCCAAGGGCAAGGCCCGGTGCTGAAGAATGCAGCGCACAGACAGGGTAGAGGGCCCTTGCTGCAGTCTCAGATGAGGTTCTCAAATGCCCCCAGCTCAGCTGAACATTTCTGAGGCCAGGAAGCCCACCAGCTTGATGCGACTCTATACAGACGTCCAACCCTATCTATGGCTGTCCCTACTTTGAGGGACCGGAAGTGGAAGCAGGTCCAATCTGTGTGCACCTGAAACCTGGCGAGACCTGGAGGGATGCCCAGGTCTAATTTACCTGTTGAGGTGGCAAGTTGTGGTTTCGGTCACATTGCCCGAAAGATAAGGAATTTCAGGAATTCTGCCTTGCCGGTTGGAAACAGAGTCCCACACAATGGGCCTTTTATGGAGCCCTGGCCTACAGTTGGTACTGTGGTATTATTTTAACTAGTTTTGTGTTGATCTGGAGTGTGCAGTGCCAGTTGCTAGGGGAACTTTGGACCCAGGGAAAGAGAGGCTGGCTTCTAAACTGTGGTAGGACAACTGTTAGCACGGGCCACTCTCCTGCCAGGAAGGAAGCTGGCTTGTTGCAGGCCAGAGCCTAGTTTTTCCTCCTAGCTGCTCTCCTGTGTTGTGGAGTTCGTGCTCTGGCCTTCACATGTGGTGTGGATCTGGGGACGAGGGCTATTTTGAGGTCCACTTTCATTCATGGCTACTTCTGTGTCTTCTGCATTATTGACTTCTCATCTTTGTGATCAAATCCAGACAAGACCCTCAAGGGATGAAGTGTTTATTTTGTCTCATAATCCAGGAGACAGATCAACTTGGCCATGATGGAGAAGGCACCGCAGCAGCAGTGTGAGGCAGCTAGTCACCTTCTGTTTGGAAAGCAGTGTGTGCCTGGAAGTGGGGCCAAGCTCTAAAGCCTCAAGGCCTGCTCCCCACCCCCGACCCCGTACTTCTTTCCTCCAACTAGGCTCCACCCCCTGGAAGTTCTACAACCTTCCAAAATAGTGCTGCTAGCTTAGGACCAAGTGTTGGAGTCATTTCTCATTCAGACCACACCCTCCTATCCACTTGTTTCAAGAATGAGATAATGAATAGAAGAGAGTCCGTCCGTGAAATCAGTTTTACAGAATGGCAAGCTGTTCCCATCCCTGGGCCTTTGTAGAAGAAGAATCATTATTCCTTGCAAATGAAGTTAGTGACAGTGTAAGGGTGGAAACAGAAGCTGGTGAAGGAGCTAATCATTGGTGTTTGTTTCTGTGGTTAAGAGTACCCACTGAAGGAATTAGGGGCTACATCTCTCTTTTTTCTAATAGGATTATTTTTCTTAAAATTCACAAGGACAAAATAGGCTTTTAACTTCCAAGGAGGTACTGTTCAAGCACCTGTCCAGTCAGCAGGCACCTTTGGTTGCCTTGCCTGCTTGGGACAACATGGCATGGCTGGAGGATTTCAGACATCCTCCAAACAGGCACTCTGCATAAAAACCTGGGATCTTGGGTGTCATTTTTAGGCTATAAACTGAAAGTTTTAATTCTTCCCTGACTGCCTGGCATCTTAAGAGCTGAAAAGTGTGCAAACAGCCCTCCTCAGTGGGAGATGGCTGGCTGTATTTTCACTCTTAGAATGGGTGATACATTGTTGATGGAGGCTAGCTCAGCATATGTGGAGGCATATAGAGTTCAGTGTTGCTGTGGGGACTGGGAGGAGTGGTGAAACAGTTTCTGGAGTTAAATTTTGTATGTAGTTGCATAGAAAAGTATTAGGTAAAGGAACAACTAACAGCCCAGCACAAAAGATGGGCAGGCATCAGCAAGCATGAGCTGAACTGGGCCCTCTGCCTCTGATGGATTTGCCTTCTGAATTTCCAATTTCATGAAGTCATGGTATCTCACAAATTATCTCCATGGGTGCAGATGTCTGTGAGAGTTTTGCAGAAGATGTTTGAGAATGAGCTATGTTAATATGTCATCTATTAGTGGCAATCTCCCATGCATCCAACAGGAAAGACACTCTGCTTGATTGGGATGGAATTTCTTGGAGTGAAACATTTATTTTTCTTGTCATGTTGTCTTTGATAACTGATCCTAGTTGAGATATCTTGGTAAAAGGCTCTTGCCCCTAAGAATCATTTACTTTCTGCCAAAGCTGCACCGTGCTGGAAGATTTTCTTAAAACTTCACCTGGTCATGGCTGCACACTACTGTAGGTTAAACAAAGTGGCAGAATGCAAATTCATTCTCCTTGACTCTGGTAGCTACCATGAGAGGGTATTTTGCTTTATTTTTTTTAACCTAAAAGACTTGGCAATGTTATGTTCACACTTCACACTACAATGAAAAATACATTTTCTTTTCTTTAGTTTTTATTTTTTTGGTTTTCTTTCGAGACAGGGTTTCTCTGTGGCTTTGGAGGATGTCCTGGAACTAGCTCTTGTAGACCAGGCTAGTCTTGAACTCATAGAGATCTGCCTGCCTCTGCCTCCCAAGTGCTGGGATTAAAGGCATGCGTCACCACTGCCCAGCGAAAAATACATTTTCAAATTCTACTTTTCCCTTTTAAAATCATTCTTTTTGCTAAGAAGTTGGGGCAGGGTTTCCTTGTCAGGCTCAGCACTGTGACTTCCTGGTGAAATAGAACAAAAAATACAGAACTGACAAGGAGCCCCCTCTGCTTGCATCTGTCTGGCTGAGTCAAGCCAGGCCAAGTGGGCACCATTACAGGGTGAGTGGGAATTCTCAACATTGGCTGCCCAGGCATCATGGACTTCTCCCATGGATGGCCTCATTTCAGGAGCAGATCCCATGGATATCATTCCAGGAGAAGGAGGGCCCTCGTGGGGTGCTGGATCATAGTGGGTGTATAATGTTCAGGGCACTGACAGGGTGGGGGGAACCATGACATGAACAGGAAGAGGAGCAGAGAATGGAGCTGGAAGTAGCTTTCCTTGTTGACATGCATCTGAGAACCATGGGTAGGATATGTACTGCAGTCACAATGCAGGCCTGGGCTGCCTAATCAAGATTGTGTTTTAGATGCCATTGGAAAGGGCTGGGGATGTAGCTTAGTGATGGAGCACTTCCTTGTATGCATAAAGCTCCTGGTCCCTGGTATGGTGAACCAAAGATACAGGGTAGTGGAAGGAAGGTGTGAATACAATCATGGTATGTTGTATACAAATAATATATTATATATAAAGCAAAGCAGAACAAATGACTTAAAAGAATTGGGCTGGGAGTGGAACCCTGTGCTGAGGTCATTCCCACCATTTTCCCTGCAGTTTTGCTGCTGGAGAAGATAGAGCATGATGACATTTGCAACAAGACACTGAAGATCACGGACTTTGGGCTGGCAAGGGAGTGGCACAGGACTACCAGGATGAGTGCAGCAGGGACCTATGCCTGGATGGCTCCTGAGGTCATCAGGTCCTCCCTGTTCTCCAAGGGCAGTGACATTTGGAGGTGAGCATATACACCTTTGCTTTGTCTATCCGCAACTGCTGGTTGTTGTTCTATTTGATCATGGAGGCTGCAGGGCTTTGTGATACTGCCACGGATAGCAAAGTGCTTGTGAGTGTGTGGTTCCAGATGTGTGTTGCAAAATATTTGTTTAATTATGTAAAGATGTGTTGCATTTGTTTAATTGTGTAAAGATGTGTTGCTGTTTTACCTTGCCTAAATATTACACTTGATTAGTCTAATAAAAAACAGAACAGCTAATAGTGAGGGAAGAGGTATAGACAGGACTTCCAGGCAGGGAGTGTAAGTAGGATGAGGAATTTAGGCTTGGGAAAGAAAGAAAAAGAGATACCAAGGAGATGCTAGGGGTTAGCCAGACAGACATGGAGGAAGCAAGAAAGTAAGACATACCGAATGAAAGAAAGGTAAAAAGTGCTGAGGCAAAATGTAGATGAATAGAAACAGGTTAAATTAAATTAAAAGAGCTAGTGGGACAAGCATAAGCTATGGTAGAGCATTCATAATTAATAAGTCTCCATATCTTTATTTGGGAGCTGGTTGGCGGCCCAGAGAAAATCCCAACTATAGATGTGATGACAAGAGACTCTTACTTGACTTCCTGCCCTATGATATGATCTCTGGGGTAATTAGGTTAAACAAGGAAAGCTTGTTTTGGGTCAGGGTTTCAGGCATCTCTGTTCATGGATGATTGGACTCATCACTTTAGTCTGAGGAGAGGCAGTTCATGGCTGGAAGCTTTGGCAGACTTAAGCTGCTTACTTCACATCACCCAGGAATCAGAAAGAGGAGAAGAGGCTGAGGTTCCATGGTACCTTCCTAGGGCATGCCCCCAGGGGTTCACCTCCCTTGTATGAGGTCCCACTTCCAATAGGTCTGATACCTCAGGCTGGGGCCAAAGCTTCAACACGTTAGCTTTAGAGGGACATTTACGATCCATCCTGTAGCCTCCACCTGGCCTATAAAGGCTCATGCTCATCTCATAATGCAAATGGATTTATCCAGTCTCAGCGATTGTATAGTCTAAGTTCAAAGCCTTCTGAGACTCAATGCAAAAATCTCTCTGTGTGTGTGTTTGTGTGTGTGTGTGTGTGTGTGTGTGTGTGTGTTATTGAAATATTTTGGTAATTGTGTGTGCTTGTGTGTTATTAAGTGTATGTGTAAGTATATATGTTATAAAGTGTGTACAGGTGTGGGAAATGTGTGTTATTAAACTTGTCTTAGCTAGGGCTACTATTGTTGTGAAGAGACACCATGATAATGGCAACTCTTACAAAGAAAACATTTAATTGAGGTGGCAGCTTATAGTTCAGAGGTTCAGTCCATTATCATGGGGGCATGGTGGCTTGCAGGCAGATTTGGTGCTGGCTGCCTCTTGACTAGAAGGCAGCAGGAAGTTGACTGACTGTCACACTGAGGGAAGCTTGAGCAAAAGAGACCTCAAAGCCTGCCCCCACAGTGACACACTTCCTCCAATAAGGCCATACCTCCTAATAGTGCCAATCCCTTTGGGGTCCATTTTCTTTCAAACCACCACATTAAGTATGTGTGTATGTGTGCACATGTGTAAGATTGTGTATGCATGTGTGAATGCATGTATGTTATTAAATTTGTGTTTCTGTGTGTGTTCATGCATGTGTGTGCTATTAAGTATGTGCATGCATGTGCGTATGTATTATTAAGTGTGTGTGCCCATGCATGCACATGTGGAGATGAGAAGTTGGCACTGAGTGTCTTCCACTATCTTTATCTTATCTTTTGAGATAAGACTCGAACCTAGAACTCACTGATTGGCTAGACTGGCTGGTGAGCCGGCCTCTAGGATCCACTTGCCTGCTGGGATTACAGATATGTGAGACCACACCTGACTCTCTTTTTCTGGGTGCTAGAGATCTGAACACAGGTGCTCATGCTTGAGAAATAGACACTTTACCAATGGAGCTATCACTCCAGCCCTCAAAACAAAAACAAAGACAACAACAAAACTCGTAGCTGTGATCTCCTTGAAAAAGAGAGTTATACACTTCTGAGACACAATGACAGGCCAATCATTCTCCTCTGGAAAGAAAGGAGAAGAAAATAGCAGGGAGGGATTAGACCAAAGCAAAACTGAGCTCAGCAGCCACCCACATATGTCCGTGTCTGAAGTCTGGAGCACACGTCAGCAGAATGTGGCTTGGGCAGCCCTGATTGTTGGGTCTGTGAACTGCTGCTCATGTGGTCTATCTCCTGAGCCGGCTCTGCTTGTTGCCTGTAGCTTCCCTTGGTATCTCTTAACTCCAGAAGGTCTCCATCACAGTTAGCTCTACATTTTGCCCTCTCAGGGACAGCAAGACTTCCCTCCAGTTGTTCCAGTGCAAAGTCCTTGACTTCTTTATGACCATAAAATCTTTAACAACTAGGTTTTTCTGCCACATGGAAATGTGGCCTTTTTGACTAAACTTCCAGTGTTTAAAATGTTTCCACTGTTTTTCATTCCTGATTCAAACTGCTAAAAGTAGCCAGTGATAACCATGCCACAACCCCAATGTTAGGCTGTGTTGAAATTTTGTCTGTCAGATTACTCTGTCTCCTGCCTTCAAATTTCAGCCTCATTCAAGGTCTCAGGATGTGGGCAAAATGTAGACATTGCTGGAATGTAACTCAAGTGGTTTGTAGGGTGACTTCTGCCAGATTCCTCATGAACACAGCTGTTCCTGGCACATTTCCTTCAGCATCTTCATCCTGAGGCTCAATAGAAGAAGCGGCTTCTAGAATGCTAGGCTTTCTCTACCTCCTTTTACAAACTTTACCAAAGGCTTTTGAACCACAATTGTTAGGCTTCATCATAGCAACCACTCATGTTTTCTGTATTAGTCAGCTTTCTGTGGCTGTGACAAAATTCCTAAGATAATCAACCCTTAAGAAGGGAAGTTTTTGTCTTTTTAATATCAGAAAGCTTACACTTTGAGAGCTTTCTTCCCATGAGCCTTTGGCTCTGTTATTTCTTGGGCATGTAGGGAAGCAGAGCATCATGGGTGACAAAGCTGCTCACCCTCAGGCAACCAGGAAGGAGGGGGTGGGATGACACTTCGGTGTATCAAGGTGTGCTTGGCGGTGCACACCACGGTGTGAATTGCGATTGCTTCCCCATGTCTTCCCCACCACGGTAGATAGGACACTCTGAAACTATGAGTGAAGGGAAATCTTTGCTCTGGTAGGGGGTTTCTTTCAGGTTTTGTCATAGTGGAGAGGAAGCTAATATATAAGTAAGAGAATCTTTCTTTGAATCAGGTTATGTCAAACTCCCTAAGTCACAATCAACACTTTAATCTGTGTGTACACTAGAAGTCACTCCCTCACTTCCACACATGAAGTCTTTGGGGGATATTTTTGTCAAATCACCCAGAGAGTGGTTATTCACCCCCATAATAGTCATGCCACTGCTGTGAGTAGGCACATGTGCTTGGCAGGTTGGCCTTGCAGGTAAATTGATGGAGTTGAACAAATTTATATTGAGTGAGATAACCCAGGCAAGAAAAATGAAAACTGTATGTTCTCCCTGCCAGTCAAATGTAACTTCTAATCTAATTTCGAAAGTCAGGCCATTAGAAGGCAGCTGTTGGGAGAGGGTGACTTCAGGGCAGGGTATAGCAGAACTTAGGCAATAGTTCAGTAGAGGTGGAACTGGGGGTGGGAATGTTTAAGCAGGTAGGGAAGGGAAGATGGTTTGGGAAAAGGATTAACTGAAAGCAAATGGCATGAAAAAGATAGAGAAACCTACTATCTTGTAATCAAAGTAATATGTAATTTATGAAAAAAGACTTTGGAAGGAGATACTCTACTCATAACTGTTATGAGTTGAGGTGAAGATCCAGTAGTGTCTGTCCTGGGGACAATGGGAAATCTTAAGAGCTTTTCTATAGTGACTTACTGAGTCAGACCCTCTGAGTGCAGGGCTGAGCATGTGTGTTTTATAAAGCAATGAGGATCTTGTCATAGAGTTAATTACAGCCACTTTCTGCCCACGTGAAAACAGGTTGTGGAAGTGAACTCAGTGGTCTTTTAAGAAATTAACTGTCGGGGTCCTAGAAACTACTAACTCCCCCATAAATCAATTTTACATTCACAATGATGTCGTAAGACTAGACCCCTTACTATGTGTCTGCCCTCTGTTACAAGTCCTATAGTTACAAGCTAGAGCCCCGCAGTGCTCATGTGATCTGACATGAGATTCCAGAAGTGGTGAGAGTACAAGCTTCAGAGCCTCCAAACGCAGCCAGAGCAGATACGCCTCTGAAATCCACCTGTACTTTGGTTTCACTTATGCAAAGATGATCCAAATTTTCATTAAAAGTTGCCAATTAGGAGAGAAGGAGAAATGACTGTCTGGTGATAGCAACAGATTCCTGGGACCAGAGTGATGGCTCAGTGGGTCAAGGCCCTTGCAGCCAAGCCTGACGCCCTGAGTTCAATCCCTGGAAGGTGATCGCTGACTCCTGTGAGTTGTCCTCTGACTTCCACTTACAAGCTGTGGTGCTCATATGGACACATGCTAAATTACAAATAAATTAAAAATGAAAACTAGCAAGAATGCCAGTTGTGCAGGCACAATGGTGTGTACCTATAGCCAGTCTCTCAGCAGGCTGTAGAGGGAGATCCCTTTAGCTCAGGGTTTGAGGGTGGCCTCAAAACAAAAACTCACCCCACAATGTATTTCTTTTATGACTTTATCCATTAGTGTAAAGCCTAAAGAATCATCTAGAGCAGCAGTTATCATCAACCTGTGGGTCCTTGTCCCTTTTGCCACCGCATATCAGATACCCTGCATATGAGATGTGTACATATGATTCATCATAGTAGCAAAATTACAGTTATGAAGTAGCAATGAAAAAATTTTATGGTTGGGGGTCACCACAACATGAGGAACTGTATTAAGGGTCTCAGCATTAGGAAGGTTGAGAGCCACTGATCTAGAGTGATAATAACTTTGGGGGATTAAAAATATTATGTGTATGGGTGTTTTGCCGGAGAGTATATCTGGGAACCACATGCATGCAGTGCCTGTGGAGGTCAGAAAGGGGCATCAGACCTCTAGGACCAGAGTTTGAGATGGCTGTGAGCTGTTGTGTTGGTGCTGGAACTCAGGTCCTCTGGAAGAGCAGCCAGTACTCTTTTAAGTGCTGAGCCATCTCTCCAGATCCCTTCTGAGGAGCCTGGAGCTCATAATCCTCTGGCCTCAGTCCCCTGAGTGCTGGGATTGCAGGTGTGCACATCAAGCTCCAGCTGTTCTGGGGCAGAACCACCTCCCACCCTGGGAGAGCAGTGGCCTTGGTCAGCTGGAAATGCTGATCCCAGTGGGAGTTAAGCTGGACATGGGATAGGCTCTGGAGCCCAAGTCACTAATGGGAACTTTGTTTTCCAGCTATGGGGTGCTGCTCTGGGAGCTGCTCACAGGCGAGGTCCCTTACCGTGGCATCGACGGACTGGCTGTGGCATACGGGGTGGCCGTCAACAAGCTCACACTGCCTATTCCATCTACCTGCCCTGAGCCATTTGCAAAGCTTATGAAAGGTATTATTCAGCCCCGATCTCAAGGGTCTAGGGTCAAAGAAAGTTGTGTATAGGAACAATAACATTTTCTATATGTGTGTTTTAGTGAGATGGCTCAACACATAAAGACATTTGCCACCAAGGCTGACAGTTTGGGTTCAATTCCCACATGATAGAAGAGATCAGACTCCCAGGGGTGGTCCTCTGATTTCTAACTATATGCAATGGCATACCTGAGCCCAAACACATAAATAAATAGACAAATGTATAAAATTTTAAAAGCAAAGGAAATATTAATCTGGATACGGCAGTTCATGTTGGTGTTCCCAGTGTTCAAGAATCTGAGGCAGGAGAATTGCTTTGAGTTTCCAGGACAGCCTGGGCTAATATAAGACCTGTCTCAAAACAAAACAAAACAAAACAAAACAACAAAACAACAACAAAATATCCAATTGCTTTTCAGTGTGCTATTCTAAGAAACTTCACCTCTGCTACAGAGGTGAGTCATAGGCATTTTCAGCTGTGCAACTTAAAGCCACCCAACCTTATAAGTGATGCCTCACCTTCCCTGTCACTGTCCCACTGTCTGCCAGCGGATAGCACAACCCTGAGCTGGCTCCAAGCCTCCATTTGAAGTCCCAGATAGTGATCACAAGTACCTCCCAGGGCTCTGCAATGTGGTTGTGCTTAGACCTTCTGATTCCACTCTTGTCCTTAAGCTTGCTGCCTTTCTCTGTTAGCTGTCAATTTACTTCATCAGTTTTGATTTTTGATTTTTGTTTTGATAGGGCTTTGCTACATGTACCAAGCTGGCCTTGAACTCACTCTGTATTCCATGCTGTATGAAAATTTATTATTTATTTCAGGCTGTCCTCAAACTCACTCTGTAGCCCAGGCTGGCTGCAACTTCACCATGTAATGCAGACTGGACCTAGATTCTGCCTCAACCTCTCTAGTGTTGGAATTGCTGGCATGTGCCACAGTGTCCAGCATTAAGTTATTTCTTAGGCCTTCTGCTGTAATTATATCATCTTTCAGATATTGGCTTGGGGCTTGTGTTTTATAGCTGTATACTTTTGCTGCAGCAGCTAGGCCTCAGCATGGAAAACATGCATCTGTGAACCAAGTGTCAACTAACACAGGCAAAAGCAGGCTCGCCTCACTGTGTCTCTGCTCACCTCTGACGTGGTGCTGGAGACTGGGGACACAGAGCTCTTGGGCAGTCACTGGTATGCCCTTAAGATATTCAGGAGCCAACACTGCAGACAGGGACTTCTGGTTTAGAGTGACAAGTGTCAAATTGGGAACCCTGCGGTCTTGGAGATCATCCTAGCTGTACTGAGAGGGGAAAGTAATGTGATTTTCATTTGTCACAGAATGCTGGGAACAAGACCCTCATATCCGCCCTTCGTTTGCCTTAATTCTTCAACAGTTGACTGCTATTGAAGGGGCGGTGGCCACTGAGATGCCCCAGGAGTCCTTTCATTCCATGCAGGAAGACTGGAAACTGGAGATTCAGCAAATGTTCAATGAGCTTCGAACCAAGGAGAAGGTGAGAGAGCTGACTCACCACACAGTACACCTATAAGCCATGGGGACGCCAGCCGGGGACCACTGTTAGCATTCTGCTATTTTTCAGATGCCAATGTTCATTGATGCTTGCTATTTTTCAGGTTAAAATAGAGTATTAGAAACATACAATTTTATTAGAAAATTTCAAAATGGAAAAGAGATAAGAAATAGCATAATAAACGTGTACGTTAATGAACCTTGCCAGATGGGAGCTGGTGTGAGATGGACTGGTGAGGGGTGTGAATTGATCAAGCCTGGTCTCTTCGGGGGTGGTGACAGAAACTGTCAAATGTCATACAGAAGGCAGATTTCAGGCATGGCTCTGTGACATGGTGATGGTGCTTACTCTTTTAAAAGCATCTTTGTAGTATTTGAACGTTTTCGTGACTCCAGGTTTGTTGTTGTTTCACAAATGCAGGTGTTTAATAGCTTAAATTCTTCCATTATACATGTGCATTTGTGCGTGTGCATCCATAACACAGCAAGCCCAACATTTCAAGTTACTTGTAAACTTGAAGTTATAACCAGGGAGGAACTTTCCCTCCATAGGCCTCTGGGACAGATGAGGAGAAAGCACCCTGCCTACTGTCTGAAGGGTTCAGAAGTAGGATTCATGGGAGCATCCCAAGGACTGGTCACCAGACTGAGTTCAGGGACATTTTGCTTCTCAGATAGCTTGTCTGGTTGGTGTTCAGCCTTTCTTCCTGGTGTTTGGGCAGAATGACCAGGATTGCCTGGGTCTATACTAAGCTGAGTGCTTGGAGCTCTGGGTCAGACAGGCTGGCTGCCTCTGGGCTCAGCTGGGTGCTGCCGCATGGCCTTGGTCTCTGTCTCACTCCCCATGGAGTGTCACAGAAGGGAGTGTGAACTGTGAGGATGGTGCCCAGCTCCTGCCACCTGCTCAGCAAGTAGCATGTAAGCAAGTAGGAGAAAGACATCGGGGCTTTGTGAGCCAGAGTCCTGTAGCTTCCCACTGCACCTGGCCAGGCCTAGGGGAACAAGCTGGAGGAAGAAGGCATGGAGGCCACTTCCAGAGGGTGCCTTTTGGCAAGGTCTTCTGTAGAGTTCTGGAAACATTTACACATTTCGTTGGCTTAAAGTGATTGGAAAATTTTGATTTTTTTAGTACACGTATCCAATTCACTTTCAAGAATTCTGAAATGAGGTATTTAAACCCACAACTAAACTTGATTTTAAGGAATAACAGGTGGTTTTGAGGGAAAACACCCTCAAATCACACAATGTTTGAGAGTGACATTATTAAGCATAACAATTCTTACAGTCCTTTTCTCTAACTAATAACTAGTTTTGAACCTGCAGGATGCAAGCACAGAAACAGAGTGAGTCTCATGGTATAGAAGAAAATAATAAAATGATGCTTCTAGAACAGACACAGCCTTCTCTGTCTTTAGCTGACACCAGCACTTACAGTTTTCATCTCTCTTTTTGTCTTTGAAGCAGTGTTTTGCTTAGTATCCTAGGCTCCTCTGATACTCCCTGTGTAGTTTAGGCTGGTTGTGGAACTCACACTCACTGTGCAGTTTAGGCTGGTCATGAGCTCACAATCTCTGTGCAGTTTAGGCTGGTCATGAACTCATACTCATTGTGTAGTTTAGGCTGGTTGTGAATTCACCACAATCCTTCTGCTAAGCCTCCCAAGTGCTGGGATTACAGGAATGCCACCCATTTTCTTATTTTTCTTTTGGATTTTTTTCCATTGGTGTCTGGTTTGTCTTTTTATTTGATTCTTACTCATTGCTCCTCCCAGCAGCCCCTATGGCCTTGTGATCTGTGATTAGAGAATATGCAATAGTCTGTCTCTTTGTGCTCTGTTTCCAGTCTCATCTTCCTGAGGGTGGAAAGCCTTTGTACGTGCCCTATCTTTCTTTCCTGCTCACTGGCTGAGGGAGGAGGCCTCGTGCTCAGCCCTTGGCTCTTGTCCACAGTTCTCTGTAGATGGTGAATCCTCCTCACGCTTGGGCTTCTTATCACTGTCTGTCTGTGGGTCCCCTGTGTGCACCTGGCACCACAGGCCCTTGAAGAGGGCTTGTCCATTAACCATTAACCTTTCTTGCAGGAAAATGGTTTTGCCATTACCAGAAAGTCCCTGCTGAGCCTTCAGGCAAATGCTCCTGCTAGTAACCACACAGACAGAAGAAAGGCTTTTGTACCTCATGATTTCAGAGTGTTCACATGTGTTCCGATACTCCAGAGGTCTTCCTCCCATTTCTCAGCCTTTATTATTATTATTATTATTATTATTATTATTATTATTATTGTGTGTGTGTGTGTGTGTGTGTGTGGGGGTGTGTGTGGGGGTGGG